GCGGCGTGGCCCGTGCTCCGCCGTGGAGCGAGTAAGCGCGTGGCCACGGCCGGAGTAAAAACTTGGGGAAGTTCAGCCGAATGGCCCCTTCTTGCCCTGTTTTGGAGAGGGTTCGCCTCAGGAGGGCGAATCCGGGCACGTACTGAAGCAGCCCACTCCCAAACACGTATTTGCCGTGCCCATGCTTAAAAAGTGCCAGTACATTAAAATGCAAATATGCATGTGCTGCCTGGTAATGCTGCTGCGTGTTTCCTGTTTACCATGTTAATTAGAAGTTGCGAGGGGAAAACGCCGCCAAGTGCAATGCAGGGCAGTGTTTGACCCAGTAGTGCACACCCGGTGATGCACTGGCTTTGGGAGCTGTAGGTTTTTCTAGCACGAGACCAAACCAAATTGGACTTGGTTAGTAATAACAACATATAAAAGGTGTAAATTGTAAAACAGCTTAGGCTTAGGAAACTGCTCTTTCAGCACAAGTGTCAAAACTAAACCAATATGGAAATGAACAAGTAGATCCTTGCCACCAGCTTTCATTTTTGGCAAGGAAAGTCTCGCTCTGGCAGTATATGTTCCTGATCCTGTAAAGTTTGGGATGCTTCCACCTATTACTCTGGATAACATGAAATATTTGTGCCAAAGTTTGAGCTTTGGGATGATCATATTTGTATGGCAAGGCAAAACAAACATATTTGTAAATCAATACAGGCAAACCCACACAGAAGTATCTTGGGAGTTTCATTGTTTTGTGAGGTTGTTTGTTTTTTTTCTTTTTCTTATTTAAAACTAGGTTCACTCAGTAAATCTGTCTTGTTCTTCTTTGCCACATCCTTTCAGTTTCTACGTGGTATTAATACAAACATACCTACTGAAGAAACGCTTTTGACATTAACCAACTATTTGTTTGTTTTTGTAGTCCTCCTCACAATTTCCGGAGTCTTCCAGAGAAGAGAATAGAAAGAAACCAGTTTTGGAAAGGCTTGGAAATTTATTTAGTACGGGGAAAAGAAAGAATGTCAAAAGCTCACTAGAACACACCTCGACTTGGAAAGGAGAGAGGTCAGTTGCTCCTCACAAAGCACAGCCGTTTTACTGTAAACATCTAAAGGAAGGCGCTGAAGTGCCTCAAGTACAGCGAGTGAGAAGCCTCAATGCTGCTTCCGAAACACAGGAATATAATTTCCATGGGGAAGTAGCGCCTGTGTATCACGACACTATTTCAGAATGGAGTGGTAAAGGAATCTCGTCGGACAGTGAGTGGTCACCAGACTGGAGCAGCAGCAGTGAAACCATTAAAAACTCCTTCTTTGAGAGTACCCTGAATGTGGAAACAGAGGAACTGGAAGAAGAGCTGGTCACAGATATAAATAATTCCACAACTCCAGACTTCATAAAGAGTTTGAGGAACTTAACTAGTGAAGACTTAGAAAAGAGTATCTTAAACCACAAGCAGCTAGTGAACACGTGGGTCTCTGAGGAGCCTGGGCATGCTAAGCCAAAGGATTTGCCATACAGTTTGGAATCCACAGCAAGTGAGCACATACCTTCTGCTAGAGTGTTAACAGTTGATATCTATCTTAGAAAAACAGACGAATTTCTTAATGAACCTGTGACTTTTATATCGGAAGAAAATTGTGGTGACTCAGACACAATGGATAAAAAATCTGCTAGTAAAAGATCTGGAAAAAGAAGAAAATCTCAGTCATCTAGTGACATCCCAAATGGAGAGAGAAACCAGACTGAGAATCCTGCAAAAGAAGATTCAGTTTTTGAGGATGATGGCTCTTCTGATGTGTTTTCTGACAAGATAATGAACTCGGAAAGAAAAGTGAAGTCTCCTCAACAGACTCCTGAAAGGAACCCATCTTCCCCAGGTAATAACCAGGACCTAAAAGCTGGATCTGCTCAAAAAGGCGCCTCCAAAACTGAAGCTGACAAAGGCAAGCAGCAGGCATCAACCACGACTCCAGCAAGGAGAAGATCGTATAAAAAGAATCAGTTCGATGCTGTCCCTGTTTCCCCTACTGGTTTGAAGAGCCAGCTAAAAGATGCCTCAAAAAGGCAACCTTTAACCCCAACAGAGAGTAACCCGATGACAAAAAGAACTTCAGTGGAAAAGGGGACCGTATTGATGGCCTTTGGGGAGGACGGTTTGGAGTCTCCCAAAGGTTGCTTGGCTGATAAGACAGAAAACACTGCCTTGGTGTTTGTGGAAGGCAGAAGTGATTCCAAGACAATAAAGCACAGCAATGGCACCGATGGGAGAGCTTTCCTGCGTACTGATGGGATTAAAAATGGAGACTCATCACTGTCAACTGAAAGACTGGCAAATTCTGATTTAGACAGCTCAAAGATGAAAAGTCTGGATGCTTCCAGAACAGTCACAACAAAGATTAGCCTGTAAGTAACATAAATTACACTTTACTTTATCCCTGTAGCTGTAATCTTGCCTGCTTCTTTGTTTAGTATTTATCTGATACCTTTTGTAGATTACTTTCAATTAAAAACTGCATTTTTTCTTTTGTTCAGATCATAGTAACAATTACTCCTTAACAACTGTTACAATATAAATGTGTTATAAAGCCAATCTTTTGGCTTTTTAAAGAATTGGCAGTTTTAAAGAATTTCTTTATGTGGAACAATTTAATGTGCATAAAAATTGCTCTATAGTCCCTGTTCCCAACTACTGCTTTCCTGAGGATCCAGTCTAAGATTTTGTATGTTAAAAATCGTGGAATAAGGGAAGTGCTCAAGTTATCCTTCTAAGAAGAGAAGCTCTGCTCAGCTATTAGTTTATGAAGAAACATAAGATACAATGTAGAATTTACATGATACTTCAAATGATATGGCAAATCTCACTTGAGAGATTTGAATATATATATCTGGTTTCATAAGTTTATGTGGGAATCCATCAAGTAGATGTATATATTTGTTTGCAGAATTTTGTTCTGTCACCTGCCTAAACAGAAGTGATCTAAGATTTTCTTAGGATTATAAAGATGTGGGTATACTTGTAATAATCACTGTAATAAATAGTTCAATCCTGGTTGTTGAGCGCCTGGCTTCTAGCGAGTCTTGTTCTCTAGAGAGTCTCTATTGCATGTGTAATTTCTGTTGCTTGATTTTCATAGTACTACTGAGTTCCTGAATTTTGATACATTTATAGGACCCCTCAGTCCTCTCAGAGTATGTTGAATCCTATAGGTCCTGGCAATATTGAATGTTCGGTACTGATACTTCGTTGAGTTAGAGGGGCACAGAAGCTTCATATTACACCTTGAGAAAAGCATGTGTTTCCAGCTGCACTTCTCACATCTCGGCTAGAAACCTTCCCTTTGCACCATTTGTGATAAACTGCGACTGGTTGGTTTCTTGGATTAGAAATAAAAATGCCCAGTTCCAAAAGTTAAATAGAGCTTTTTGTACATGATGATGCTTTGTTATCAAGTAATACAGATCACAAAATGTAAACTCTGAAGTTTGGCATCTTCACAAAAAAGCATCCTTCATATTTTTATTCCTTTATGCTGCTATCACTGATGATGATGAAGTTGCAAATGCTTTTGTGTCTGGGTTTAGTTTTCCTAGGTATCTGCTTGGCTTGCTATAGGGTAAATTATCTTCTAGTGTACTCTTAACATCACAGACAGATTCCTTTCGAACAGATTCCTTTTTGGTGAATAAGCAGCCTGTACATTTTCATCTGCTTTTGTGGGGCGTGTGACACTGTGTCTTGACCTTATCTCTACGGCAGGAACCTTAGCCCTGGGTGGGGACTTCTGGTTGCAGGCAAGGTTACTGATGCATCTGTTGGGTATCGTTGGACGGTTTCTTTAGCCAGGCAAAGTGATATATTCAGAGTAGCAGCTATTACTGATGGGCACTTGTGAGAACACAGGGACTGTAAACCTGGATGTGGATTAAGCTGCTGTAAAATGGGAAAGGAAGAATTTGACACCATGATTGCTAGAGAAAGGTGCGTTAGTGTTCACGCCGTTTTGAAATACAGAACAGATAATGATTGATTTATAAGGATTAAAAAAGTTGTTGCTTTTTTAAATGTCTAAGGTTTATCCTTTTCAGTTTGAAAAATACTGATTTGTTTGTCAACTCCTCCCACCTTTGCCTGATATCAAATGGATTTGAAATAATTGAAGTAGTTTTTATGTAAAGAAGTATAATGCCCGCTACTAATGATGTTTTACTAATTCGGCGAATCAGGTTTCTTCAGGAACATTTCTAATAAAAGTTGGTTTTGCCTGTCTTCTTCAAGTAATGAATAGCACTTGCTGTCTTTTCTCTCTTTCATGTTGGAGCACTGCAGAGCTTGGGAGTCGCAGGGTACTTGTCTTGTAGCTTTTCAAAGGGGAATTTATCAGGCTTGAAGCTCAGCTTAGGCTGACGGTACGTCTTAATCAGCACACAAAACCCCAGGCAGTAGCTGCTTTGATGTTCTTAGCGGAAACCTTGGCTTCAGCTGTCGCATTTGATGTTCAGACGTGGTTTTGTAGTTGCCTTTGCGTTTTTGCCACTTGTTTAATTATGCTGCTCTGTTAACATGTCATTTTGCTTTGCTCGCTTCAACCTGGTGCTCTGCCATCAATCTTACATGCTCGACATGGCCGTTTGGACAGTGTGCTTCAGCACTCTGAGTCACCATTCCCTTGCAGCTCTCCTGGGAGAGGTTTAACTGCTTCCTTCTGCTAACTAGCTGCCAGGTATAGTCTGAAGAGAGGGATATCAGTGTTTTTCTTGTGCCTGCTTGTTCCTGGCTAGCGACTAGTTTGCGGGTCAGCGGTGGGCGGGAGTGCTCAGCCCCACTAAGCTGTTTTAAAGAAAGTGCTTTTACTATTGCATGAATCCATCTTCCAGGGCTTTCTCTCATCCTACGTAGACATAAAGGATCTTAGAAGAGCACCCTTCTTACCCCCTTAACAGCGATTAAAAAACCCCAAATTCTTCTAATATGACATAACTTTTAGCTGCATTTAAAATAAGTGTGTCTCACTGGGAAAAAAAAATGTAATGAGAAGATTAACTACATGAAGCCAGCTGTAGGGAATGGAGCTTTCTGTCACTCTTTCAACCCTGCTATCTCTCTGCTGTTGCTGCCACTGTTGTGCAGGAATACTAGGGAATGTATTTTATATTTTTATACCTTTTTAGGTAGTGGAAGACAATTTCCAAAGCCGGAAATTATACCTTTCAGCTGTTAACAATTAATTTAAATAGATTTTAGGCGTGGCTGATAGCCATCAATGTTAACCATTACACCTACTTGTGTGTCAGGGCTTACAGGAATGAAAGTATTTTATAGATCTGTGCTGTTATGTTGAAATGCACATAGTAATACAAGTTACAGATTGACAAAATGAAGTTATAGAAATGAGTCAGGAATGATGACTAGGCCTTTAGTGATACCTCTTGAAAATTCAAGTAGAAGGAAGGAAAAGGAAGGAATACGTGTGTGTTTTTTCCCCTCCATAGAGGAAGACATGAGGAGTCCTAGTAGACAGCAAGTTGCTTGTGTTATTAATACAACTTTGCATCAAATGAAGATTAAGCCTGTGCTGGGCCACATTAGCAGGAGTACAGCCAGCAGGTTCGAGGTGATTGTGCCTCAGTATTTGGTGCTGGTGAAACTGCATTTGGGTACTGCATCCAGGTGTGCCCCACTATCCCCTTCCAACTCTCCTCTCTTGTACCAAGAGAGGTGTTTGCAAATGGGAATCACAGACTCATAGAAGCATTAAGGTTGGAAAAGACCTTTGAGGTCATCAAGTTCAACCGAAAACCCAGCACCACCATTACTAATAAAATGAGTCCAGCAGTCAGTCACTATGGTGGGTAATGGAGCTGGAACATATATGATATATGTGGTATGGGGTGCAGCTGCGTGTTTTCTTCAGCTGTGAGAAGAGAAGGAGAGGGGTAGATCTAATTACCATCTCCTACCTGAAGAGGCAGGACCAGACTATTCTCTGAAGTGGGTAGTGAAGAGACAAGGGCAGTGGTTACAGATTGCAACAGTGAAGTATGAAGGAAAAAGATAACTGACAGAGAGTGGTTAACCTGTTACAGTGCTTCCCCAGCAAGGCTGTGGAATCTCCATCTTCCCAGATATTTTGAACTTGGTTAGACAAAGCCTTCCATAGCTTTATCTGATTTGGAATCTGTTTGAGCAGGGAATTGGGCTAGATGACCTTCAGAGGTCTCTTCTGACTTAAATTTATCCTCAAGAAAGAGAAAATCAGATAATAATTTGACAAATTTAGGACAAACAGCATACTGCAAATGAAAAGTGGTGTCTAAATATCATGAATTTTCTGCTGTGTGATAAGTTCCCTTCTCACTTCCTCCTCTTGCACATGCTAGCACTGCATCTGAAAGTATCTTTATTGAGCCTTTTTTTAAATTCCTATTTTTAGATTTAAATTTTGCAAGTTTCCATTAGTCTGTATTTGAAATATGGCCAGAGTTGTTTACGTATTTGGGTAGGTGAGTAGTGAGCACTGTTGGATGGTCTTTTCCTAAAATATATGACAATTGCAGCACTGTTATTTTCTGTGAAGGTTCTTAGATAGCTGATCTGTGGTTCATTCTTGTTTCAGTAGGTTTGTTTCTCGTGCTTTTCTCTAGAGAAGAAGCCTGTACAGTGGGAAGTCTTGTCTTGTTAGTGTTCACTTTCTTACTTGGGCTGGGTGCTGGGAGAAAGGCAAAAGGAAAGGTGTCTCTTTTTTAGGTTGTTCAGGGTAACTCACTTCTGCCTTGCGCTTCTTGGGCTGAAGATCTGTGTGGCTGCTTAGTGAACACAGTAGGTAGAAATGAAAAAGGATAAAGCACTTGACTAGCAGTGGCTGATAGGGTGTATGAGACTTTGGATACTGCTGCTGCTGACTGGTGGTTTCTATTTATCTTCCACTATCATGGTTTTTACATAGTGGAGCTTCCAGATTCCTCTTTAGAGAACAAGTCTGACTCAGTGCTAGTGGGCTGCCTTATAGTCAACTGATAAATCTTGAAGACACCTGCCCTGCTTTTGCATGGCTGTTTATCCTATTCCTGCAGGAGCAGATGACATGGATGAATTTATTGATTATTTTTTCCTGGGTTTAGCTATTCAGATGAAAGAGATTTAAGACACACAGCCTCACAGCATCACCCTTCTGCCTATAGCACACAGTCAATGCAGTCTGGTGGAGAAGTTTCTCTAAGTATTCCCTAATTCAGTTCTTGAAAAATCAGCAAGGTTAGTTCACACAATTTAAATATAAGTGATTTTGCCTGGAGGAAATAGAAGTGTTCTCTTAGTGAAATGGTGGTGAGAGCTGCAGTGGACTGGGTACAGTAACCTTCTCCACCAGCACTAAGGAATCCAGATAGATTTAAAGATGCTTCTGCAGTATAAGAGCTGCAAAGAATTTGGGCAGATGTCTTCAAAACTCGCTGGAGAGGTATATTCAAATGTTAACCAACTCATTATCACCTTAATGAATTGGGATTTGTTTCCTAAACTCTGTAGGGAATTGCCTGCATATAATTTATTCTGTCTATTCAGTATTTTAATGCATGTCAGTCATAAGTAGTTCTTTGCCTCATTCGTAGATGCTGTAGGCTTCTATGTTTTTTGTTTTAGAGCATTACATATGTGTTTGTGAAATGCATTCTCCTGTAATGCCTAACTCCTCAGTTATATACTTACTCCTTTTTTTAAATTCTTCTTGAAATACTGAAATTTAAACTGAATATTACCTTGGAAAATTTTCACTATGATGCTACATTTTATTGTTTAAAATATGTTAAAAGTTTTTTCAAGATGAATGAAAGCTGTAACTCTTTATCACTTTGCTTCCTGTAGTCCAGCAAAACCGAAGAATGTAGAGCTGAATTTTAAAGCACCTACAAATCAAGACAGTTTAGAAAGTGAGCAGGATTCTCTTGAAAAACCAGCTAATAAAACCAATAGCAGCATTGCCAACAAAATTTCCTTGTTTGAAAACAAATGTGCTAACCAGAGCCAGAGACCTGCTGACATCCCTGCTTCAAAAAATAGTACTGTACCAAGCACTTTTGTTGGCAGAGCAAAGCTGAAATTTGGCAAACAACCTAAGGAAACTGAACAGCCTGATAAAATATTAAATAAGCAAAGCAGTCGCCAGAAGTTATTTGAAAATGGCACAACAGAGAAAGATAGCCCTGCAGACTTAAAAGGCAAAAATGAAGAAGGTTCCGCATCTTATGACGATATTGGGAAGGCAACAGAACTTAAAGTAAAAGCTGCAATATCCCTTTTTAATCAAAATAGCAAAACTGATGGTAGTGGTATCTCTCTGAAGACACCTGATCCAGAATTAGCCACAACTAAAAAAGAAAGTTTACCTATTAAATTGTCTTTGCACTCACCCAATAAGAGTGAAACTAGTCAAGATACTTGCTACCAAAGAAACAACACAAGCTCAGAATTCTCCAGAAACGAGGAAAAAGTGCTCTCAAACTCAGACATTTTATCACCTTGCAATGACGACAAATATCCTGTGCAAGCTAATCAGTTTTCTAGAGAGCCAGAATTTCAGAAGATGGAAAATGCAGATGAAAAGGCAAAGCCAGGCGATTCAAGCTTTTCAGCTCTGCAGTATGATGAAAATAGTTCAAATAATACATTGATGCCAGAGCACAGCATCAATTCACCAAAGAGTCCAAGCAAAACTTGCAATGGTTCTGCTGAAGATGAGAGCATTTTTGATTCCCCCTCTGACATGAAGCAGTTTGCTGAAACAATAAAAAACTTGGAGAGCTCAATGTGTTTACCGCAGAAGAAGAAAAGGTCAAAGCTTCCCAAATCACCAGCACCCCACTTTGCAATGCCTCCAATTCATGAAGACCATTTAGAGAAAGTATTTGATCCTAGTATGTTTACTTTTGGTTTGGGACTGAAGAAGGCGCAGGATCTGTTACCGGGCCAACAGTTTAAAATGCAAAGCTTGGAAACGATAGCCAGAGTCAGACCCAAGCGTGCATCAACAGAGCAAAGCATTATATTCAAGTCGCTGCAATCATGTAGTAGAGAGGAACCTGCTTTGGCTCAGGAACTAAATGGAAAAGAGAACAATGATAGTACAGATGGTGAAATTAAGAGATCCCGGCTTGAAAAAAGCTCCCTTTTCTCAAGCTTGTTATCTGCATCTAAAGAAAAGCTTTTTATTCCTCCTGTGACATCAGTAAATAACATGACAAGCGAGGCCACAGGGATGCCGCTACAACAGGATGCTTCTGGTCCGTTCAGTGTGCCTCCAAAACCTGAGGTAATAAAGATGATTTAAAAAAATGCAACAATGTAAAATTTTGTCTAGCTGCTGAATGGCTGTTAATTGTCATTTTTGCAATTCAGTCTCTTTCAGATATGAAGTTTCCAAGTTATGTGGAGAAGTACATGCAAGCAGATAGTGTAAAAAAAGACCTAAGTTTACAAATGTCTAACTATGGAAACCCTGAGAAAAGTTTCTCCAGCTGGTTAGGGGCAGGCAGATATGAATCAAATGTTCCCTCTGGCTTATTAGATGTGGATGTAAGTATTCTGTTGTTCAAAGTCTGATTGGAAACTTATTCAGCTTTTACATTTGCTACAGACAATATGTATAAATTGGTTTTCCTTGTTTCCCCCTGTGGTGGACATACCTAGATTACAAATAGTGTCTGATGTTGGCTACACATGGAAAAGAGATGTATGTATGGCATCTATTAGGATGATTATGTTTCTCCTTGGTGCTCTTATTCTGAGATTCTTCACAAACGTGAATAGACAGCCTATGTTTTTGAATGTGTCTTCAGGCTTGAATTTTTCTGTTTTGGAACAAAGCTCATACTAATGCCATGTTTACTGTAAATCAGTAAAAGGTTCCGTGAACTTCGGAAAACTTGTGCTTATTCTTTTCTTGACACGAATGCCTCTGCTTTTCCAGAAGACATTGCACCGCTAAATGGATAAGGGGGCAAGCTCGTTCAGCCTTGCATTGCTGCTCCTAGTATTTCCTTTAGTTTCATAAAATGATACATATACATATAATCTTTAAGAATGCTTTAAAAACTGGGTAATAGTAATGGTTGAAAGTGCCACCCCTCTGGCAGGATGTCCTTTCATCTATATTTGAGCATCATGACTGAAGGCGGAGCTACTTTTTCACTCAGAAGGGACTGTACAGTGATGTAGGAGAACTTCATATATGCTTGCTTCTGGAGACATAGGGAATTCCGTAGGGAATTCTGCAGCACTGCCGCTGACTCTGAAGTATCTTGTTCAAGTTAGAGAGGAGCCAAACATGTTTGTGTGGTGTGAACCTACTCTACTCCTTCCGCTGACTAAGGTGATGATGATGAACAAGCTACTAGGCCATGCAAAGGGAACGAATAAGGAGAGCCTCAAATAATGACTCTGACATTCCTTCAAACAAAAAGCAAGTCCTGACTGGAACTGAAGTACAGGCCAAAAAACAGGCATGCCTGAACTCATTTTGATGATACAAAAGCCCAATGGTGGTTAAGAACTCTGTCCTGAGACCACTGCCTGTCTGGCTGCTGTGCAATATGTTCTCATAAGGTCCTTGCACATGTTGCTGGCTCTCTTAGACTGTGAGCTGTTTGGGGCTCAAGCTGTTTTGTGCTCAAATAGTGCTTAACACGATGGAAACTTCTTTCAGGATGAGTGCTTCTGGTCCTGCTGGGAAGCAAAGCACATAATTACAACCCTTCTAAAATCTCTTGTAAGATCGCAGAATACAACCACAACTTTTCCTGTGTATTCTATATCATAAAATTCACTACTGACTTAAAACTATTACTTTTGATTTGGTACACCAGATTGGGTATGGCAAGAAAAACAACAGAAAACAATCTTTCACTTATTGCGCAGAGCCTCATACTTTCTGAAGAACACATATCTTGTTACAAGATGTTCAAAAGAGAACCGATTATGCTAGTTACTGCATATGCCATCATATCTCTTGGTAGATTCCTGAAAAAATAATTTTATGCTTTATGGATACCAGATACTTCAACTTTCCTGGATATCTTTAAGGTTGTAGAGCCTATACTTTCATAGTATCGATTTTCTAAGCATTCTCCAAAGATGTCTGAAATTCTTGGAATATCTGGGAAGCTGATCAAAAGGATTCTAAACATTCGAAGTGAGACAGTAATCCAGTGTTTCTTTTAAACAAGTGTAAATGTGTGTATCCGTGACAAAATACTTCAGAAAGAGAACAAAACAGAAAGAAGTGGTATAGATGAAGTTTTCTCGGGTTTTTACTATTCAGACCAAGTGTAATTTTATTTCACTAACTTATTTTGTAAGCAAACATCTTAATTGAGTAGGTGTCTGGTTTGTTTTATGTTTCTGACTTTTCTCTCCCCACTGTCTATTAGGCGTTTTCAAGAAATGGACACAGTAAAATCAATCCCAGACCTGGCAAGGTAAGATGGGTTTTCTGATTTTTTACTGTTTCTCATTGTATTGAAATATATAGCAAAGTAGAATTCATATCTGTCTACATACATATGTGTGTGAGAGAGAGTTTGTGTGTGTGTATACACATGCATATATACTATTTATTTATTTATAATACAGCTGGTGATATACAGTGAATGTGATGATCAAGAGTGTGGTATTGAAGTTTTCCATGATGTGCTGGATTGCAGTTCTTGGGTTCTGTCACCAACAATTCTAGTTAAAGTCATCAGAGGATGGTAAGTGATTCATTTTTACTCTATATCGTCAGGTCTGTCCTAGCGAGACTAAAAATCTCTTGGATTCAACATGTAGATCTGCTTTGCAAATGGCAATGTGTTTAATGTAGGTACCTTTGAGATAGAAATGTGGCATTTTGCATCTTGCAGTAGGAAGTCCTGTACTAGCTAACCTATTTTGCTGCAAATTGGAGTGACTGTGGCAATTTGGTATCCAGTGATACAACACTTCAGCAGGCACAGGGATTGATGAGAGATTCTTTCCAGATGTGCTGCTATTTAAGTCTTCTCCTCTTTATGAGTTTTGAGATCATGTTTTAATGGGGCTGGCAAGGGACTGTAAAGCCAGGAATGACAGATGTTTGACTAATTTACTCTTGATGCAGAAGATAAATTCCATGTATTCTACGTCCAAAGGCACAAAATGGTGCTGTAAGGATAACTTAGTGATTTCCTGGTGAATTCAGGAGGAATTTTGATTTTTTTTTTTTTCCTGCTAAAGCTAGGTTGTCTGGACAAGTTTTTTTTGTAGCTTCTTTGTATCATTAACAGAATAGCTGCTATTATCATGGTTAGCATGGCAGGTTAAGTTGTGGCCAAGTATTAGTCTCTAATGCAAGTTCTCCAAAATAGTGATCTGATGGCAAGCTGAAGACACAAGGGCTAGCTGCAGTAGGGGAGATCCTGGGAAGCACATTGATAGCTGTTTAGCTTCAGAAAACTGAGATGAGATCTTCTGATCTCTGTGAGCCAGGTCTGTTGTCTTTCTTTTCCAGCATGGCTTTAGTTGAGCTGGAGGACTGTTTCCCTTCAACTGAGAGCCACAGCAGAGGGTTTTTTTATTTGCAGATGGATATAGTTTTCATCTAATTACATCTTCATACCTGCAGTTAGCAATAAAGTTGGACTTGTCTTTAGAGCAGCTTTACCACCCTTCAGCACATCGATACGGGCCCCTGTGGTACTCTGCTGCTGTTCAAACAGCTTGTGTTTATATATGATGCAGTAGTCTCCAATGTCAACATATTCTGACTGAAAATTAGTTCTGATTACTCTCTCATGCAAAAGTATGGTATTTAATAGATACTGTGCTACTCTATCCAAACAATCAGTTTAAACATGTGAAGGATTTTTTGATGAAATTAGAAAGTCAGTAGCAATATTTGGTTTCATCACTCTTTTAAAAATATTGCCCATGTTGGGAATGACTTGCATCAGCAGTCTTGGGTCAATAAGCTCTACTGGGGGGAAGTAATACTTCTTATGAAAAGATTTCTTAAATGGGAGCACTTTTTTTGCAAATTATATCTGATAAAGTACCATTAGAAACAACACTGTCCTATTTTAAGCTGGATACTCTACGAGAAACCGAATTTTGAAGGCCCCTCCATCCCTCTGGAAGAAGGAGAGCTGGAACTCACTGATATATGGGGTGCAGATACTTCTGAAGAGTATGAACGCAAATCTCAAAAGCCTGCAGTGATTGGTTCAATAAGACACGTTGTTAAGGCAAGTAATATAATCAAAGAAAATCTGGTGGAGGTTTTAATGTTTGGCCATGCTTTATGTTGATGCAAATATTCATTGGTGTATTAAGGCACAAATATAACGTGAGATACAAATGAATTAAACGGTCCTCTGGGTTGAATTTCTGATTAATAACAAAATAGGTGATACTTCCAGTAACATCCACTGCAAAGCCAGGGCAGGAAGAAAAAATAAGTGATTTTCATTAGAACAGCCTTCAAAATGCTATTGAAATTTAATGACAGTTAGCAATGAAAATTCTCCAGTTTGGTAAAACTTTCAAAATTCCAGAAATTCCATCAGTAAGTTCACAGGGTTACATTTGCAGAAAGATGTGCTTTCTGCATATACACAATTTAGACACATGCAAACTTCAGTGTAAGAAACAAACCTTACTTGATGCTCAGAAAATAGCCCTCTGTGCACAAAACATGGACTTAGCACATGCTGTGGAACAGTGTGCATGCACGTTTCTATATGTACTTTTAACATGATTAAGTAGTTAGCTTTGCAGGTTGTCAAAATAAGCATGAGTTATAAAGCTACTGGACTGGGAAAGGAAAAGGAAGAATATATAGCTTGTAACTACAATTGTTGTTTAAATTACTGTTCTTTTCAAGAGAGTGGACTGCTTGAACTTATGTTAGGGTTTGCT